TGGTTGCCTTTTTTTCTGTATTACCTGTACAACTGCCAACAGTGACTATTGAGCTGGATATACACTGTATAATTTACATGATGCTTTTTCTAAAATGAAGAATGCCTATAGAAAATTAGATTAATGGTATAGCTCAACTCCAGACAAAGTGGGACTGGATTGGAATTGGAATAATTGTCAGATTTTCATCACTGTCTTCGTCCTCACGAGGAACACTGTCCTTTATTTCCTGCCATGGGGACAGGAGGTCACATAGTTACATAGTCTGGCTGAAAAAAGACAAAAGTCCATCCAGTTCAACCATTAAAAAAAAAAAGAAGTTATAATCATATACCCACAATTGATCAAGAGGAAGGCAGAAAAACCCAGCAAAGCATGATCCAAGGTGATGGGAAATCTCTCCATTGGAGCAGAAACAATAGCAAAAATATTTCAGTAGAGTAGATAGGTGTCGGGTTCTATGTCAGTTTTTTTCATTTGAATATATTTTTTTTTCATATCTCATCCACATCCCCTCATTACTTGACTTGGTGTCACGGGGACAGGAAATGAGAGTAAGGCTGGTCATAGGTGACTTTTTTTTTTTGATCAGGGAGTGGGCTGATTGAAAAAAATATGAGAGATTTCCCCCATTCACACATCCAGGGTAGATGGAGAAATAACGTTCCCATTGTGCCATTGTGTTCTGACAGCGAGGACTCTATGAAGGCACTGATCAAGAAAACATTTCCAACAAGCCCATTTGACAAAAATCAATTGTTAGATTGGCTTGGTTTGAACTGGAGGGGCCACTCTTGGATTGAAATTCAGCCAGTCCTCATTGAACTGGCCAAATTTTGATCCATCTATGGCCAGTTTAAATCCCCAGTGTTGACACAGATGATAATAAAAAAAAACTAACAGGGGGTCTAACCCTTCCCTACGCTATCCAAACTGAAAACAAACAATTTGTTAACTGATAGTTTACCTTGAAAGTCAACATTTACAAAACCACTGATGCAAGTCACCTTATATTAGGTAAGGGTCAAGTATAAAGGTTTAAATGGTTATGTCACTTTTGCATAGACACCACAGGTGGAATTTAGGAGTAATAAGCAGACCTTGAATTTTTATTGCAGGAGCCGCTTCAACTTCCAGACTGTTATGATTCATTTACAAACAGAAGTACCCCTGAAGTTATAAGAAGTGGCAACACGCATATGTTCAGTTGAGTTCAACTGGCACTGGAAGGATCTTCATTACTCCAAAACACAAAGTATAGCAATGTCCTAGTGAGATTCATTGGGCCCTTCCCTCTGTAAGAAGCTTGTTTGTCACTTTTTACAGTTTTACATGTTAATATGCAATCTTTCCTGAAGGGACTTATGATGAGCTTGGTGACATTTCACTACCACCATCAGGGCATTTTCAGAGCTGTAGGCGTTTGGCCCAATTATAGGTAATAGATTTTGCTAACCTGTCTATTCTGCAGTGACATTGACATCCTTATATCTCAATTTACGCTATTAACACTAGTAAGTGAGAAAATGTCCCAGGGCTGCATTTAACCATCTTATGTGCTTCCCGACAGAAAATAAAATCTGAGTTAAGCAAGTCTGTGAACCAAAAAGAAAATGATGTCGATAAAAACCAATAATATTATTAATGCTGTAAGATGTTCAGACTGATCTATGGATCTCCCTGGTTCCCTACTGTGTGGTTTATTGCAGATATTAGAGAATGTTAGGTCAATCTGGCCAATTATGTTCAAAGTGAGGAACAGTCAGATGTCTGTAGGCCTCAGATGATACTCAGTAGCCAACTTCGTTGGGATGGATTTATCTCAAACAATTATCAGTGTTTTTCCCCATGTTAGGGTTGTAAATATGGTGTCAATGGAGCTTTTCTCTTCAAAGGAATAAGAATGTTTTCCCACCTGATGAGAACATACATGTTTATATTGTGTTGACAATTTGACTGCTGGACCATGCATTATCTGGCTTCTGGATTGTTAAGACCTGTAGGCACTTTAATCTCCCATCTATTTGTCAGGTTATTTGTGGACATGTGCAACAAAATTTTTTTATTCTGAGATTTGGATGTATCTCAATCTCCAAATCACAATAGTAACGAATTTCAACGAATCCAAAATAAATTATAGCGGAAACAATGAATTATTTTGTATTCATTAGTTTCCTTTGCTTGCGACTTCAGAAGGTTTTGTAAGTTCAATAATATGTGCCACACTCTGTATGGTTATGATTGGCCAAAGTCCCAAAACATCAAAGTCCTAAGCAAGTTGCATCATAGTTGCAAGCAAGTTGCAGCAAAGTGGCATCAAAATTTTCTGAAATACCTGAAAGAATGAATTTGAAACAATGAATATACAAAATGAATCCCAATATATGAAATGAAATCTGGAACCGATTCATTCTAACATAACAAATATGAACTAACAAAATGATTGACTTAAAGTGATATTAACCTCATAGTGCTGGCGCCTTCCTGCCTTTTAAGAGTTTCAGAATCCGGGAGGCTGGGTTTTAGGGTCATGTGACTGCCGTGATTCGCCGTCATGGCGGTCACATGATCGGAAAAGGTCCCGATAGAAAGGGGAGATCGCGACCTTTCTGGGAGTAGTAGACATATGTGCTAGGAGCGTGCAGGGTGCGCGCTCTCAGCACATATGTATTTTTTAATTGCAAGCAAATATGCAGCCACTCGGCGTCAGGGCCAGACGCTGAGAGGCCGCATATTTGCATGTGATCGGCGTCAAGGGGTTAAAGGTTTGGTTTTTTTTTTTAAATTAAACATGTCATACTGTGCAGTGGTTTTGCACAGAGCAGCCCGGATCCTCCTCTTCTCGGGTCCCCCGCCAGTGCTTCTGCCTCCTTCCTCCTGTTGGGTGCCCCCACAGCAAGCAGCGTGGTGTGGGGGCACCTGAGCAGCTTTGCTCCCAAGCTCTGTGTGTCAATTCACTCATAGAGCCCTGGCCACGCCCCCTTCCTCTCCTGATTGGTTCACTAGCTGTGATTGACAGCAGTGGGAGCCAATGGCTCCCGCTGCTGCCTCAGCCAATCAGAAGTGAGAGTCCCCGGAGAATCGATGCTCTGGTGGACATCGCTGGATGGAGAAGGGCTCAGGTAAGTATTAGGGGTCTGCAACACACAGAAGATTTTTTTGCTTTCTTGCATAGAATGCATGAAGATAAAAAACGTTGTGCCTTTAGAACCACTTTAACAAATGAATCTGAAACTAAACAAAACATTTTTTTTTTGTTGTCATATGTCTAATTGTTTGTTTGTAGCTGCTTAGGCAGACTGGTGGTGAAGAAGCTGTTGCTGTCCCTGTTCTCACTGATGCAAAACTGTGACACTGCCGGCCAATTTCTATCAAGCTGATACAGTAGTGTAAAATTGGCCAACAGCAGGCCATAAATTAATGAGGGGGAATATGCCAGAATGTACTAGAGAAAGGGTTTTACTACATGAATTATGAGAAAGCAAATGACACAATGGTGTAAAATTGGTCAGCAGCTGAACAATTTTAAATAGCAGGGCTAGGCCGAAATTCACTAGGGACAATGGGGAACCATTCAATCAAAAATTTGCATCTCTTTTCTGGTATTATGGCAATATTATAAACATCTTTCATTAAATTCATGAAAGCCTTGCAACATTTTTGCTTGCTATTTCTGACACTTGCGACCAATTCAGGTAGTTCTTACATGTGACACTTTTACATTCTGGCGCTTTGGCTGCAACTGATTCATCAAGAAAATCAGCAATAAGAGAAGTGGAGGTAAATAGAACCTTGTAAAAGTTGAAGTGAATTGTGTCTCACATGTATTATATTGCAGATAAAATTCTGTCTGAACCATATTTCTCCTAAGATAATTCTACGACAAATTTACAGTATGTATGCCTTACCGGTATGTACAAATCTGTCTCACTACCATGGAACAGATTTTTAATGTTGTTACACAACACTTTTTATGAATTTCACTGTCTTTTTGCCCTGAGTCGGTGTCTCTTAAGGTAGCCATGAATGTAGAAGGTCAGTCCAGTGTCATCTGGAAAGTATAGTTAATTTTAAAAAATTGTCAATAAAATTATGAAGAAATTTAAAATTCGGCAATCGCCTGTAATTGCTAACAACATTCATAAATCTAGAGGTCATCATGATAATTTTCTTCTTTCAAATCATTCTTTAAAATTTGTTGATACTTCTGCTGCACTGTGATGTCAGCCTTGACACTGAAGGTTGGAAAGTGAAGAAATATCCCAAAGGGAAGACTGACCTTGTCAATGTGTAAAAGCCAATCAGTACACCAGCATCATCAAGCTCAAAGTGCTGGGAGGCCTTAGACAAGCCCATAACTACAGCCTGTATGTGTTGTCATTTAAAACAGAGAGTACGTGTTATTCTGACAGACTAAAATCACCAGCATGAAGCAAAATGATATTCATCGGTCAAAAAATTTCATACAAATGTTACTTAAAGTGATCGTGTGAAATAGACAACAGCTTGTTTCCCACCAGACATACTGTACTTGAAAATGTATATGTTAACCTCTTGTCTACCGGGCACTTTCACCCCCTTACTGCCCAGGCCAATTTTCAGCTTTCAGTGATGTCGTACCTTGAATGACAATTGCGTGGTCATGCAACACTGTACACATGGCATTTTTATAATTTTTTTGAGACAGATAGAGCTTTCTTTTGGTGGTATTTAATCACCTCTGGGTTTTTTATTTTTTGCTAAACAAACCAAAAACAACTGAAAATTTAAAAAAAAAATTTTTTTTTCTTAGTTTCTGTTATAAAATTTTGTAAATAAGTAATTTTTCTCCTTCACTGATGTTCACTAATGAGGCTACACTGATGGTAACTGATAGGCAGCACTGATGGGCACTGCTGAGGAGGCACTGGTAGGTGGCACTGATGGGCATTGACAGGCATCACTGATGGGCACTGAAAGGCAGCACTCATATGGCACTGATAGGCGGCACTGATAGGCAACACTGACTGGCACTGATAGGTGGCACTGACAGGCACTGATAGGTGGCACTGACGGGCACTGATAGGAGGCACTGATTGGCAGCACTGATAGGTGGCACTGACTGGCTCAGATGGGCACTGATATGTGGCATTGATGTGCACTGGTAGGCACTGCTATGTAGCATTGATGTGGCACTGATGGGTACTGGCAGGTGGCATTGATGGGCACTGACAGGTGGCATTGATGGACACTGACAGGTGGCACTGATGGGGCTACACTGATCATCAGGGCACTGATCATCAGTGCCCTGATGATCAGTGTACATGTCCCCTCTGGGGAATGCTGATTACCGGCTCTCCTCTCCTCACGAGCTGAAGAAATGCAGATAACCGGCATTTCGTTATTTACATGTGATCAGCTGTGATTGGACACAGCTGATCACATGACAGAGCCGATGTCATCGGCTCTTTCCACTGATCAGTGATCCGCTGTGTCCCAGGGACATAGCGCACCACTGATCGCTGCGCTGCGTGCCCCCCTGGGGCGCGCACATGTGGTTAGAGTGGGAGGACATCATATGATGTCCTCCCAGAATGAGAGACCGCCGATTTTACGTCATTACCTTATATGGCGGGCGGGAGGCAGTTAAAGAAAAAATAGTGATATGCTCCCCTCCTCTTACCTCCCTACTTAACCTTTTATGCAGCTGCTGGGGTAAGGAGTGAAAGGGAATTTTATAGACTGTCACTATAGAATGACAGCTCTGAGTCTGCTATGGCTGCTGATATCAAATCCAAGATGGCGGCACCCAGCAGCAGTCTCAGGCCTTTTGGATACCTACACAAGGGTTGTACAGGTAATAGCATGCATAAAATACATTAAATGAAGATATAATTGTATGGGAAGATTTTTCTTTAATTAGTAGTCTAGCAACAGTGTCTCTTTAGGGTGACTAGGTCCTCATTTTCTGGAAGCTGTCCTAGAATAAATAAATTCCCTGGCCTGGTAACTGTCAGGCTGCTCTGCCCATTATTTGCAGTTCTTTGTGGTTGGGCATGTCCACTGCTCTGTCTACGGCTCCCATATCGTAAAGTAGCATATAGGAAGGAGGGGCCAGGCATGGTGCACACTGATGAGGATGTGTAACCACTTGAGGATACACACAGTAGAATGGAGCCAACAGGCTGCTCTGTCAGGCAAGGAGGAGAAGCTGATATTGGACAATAATACAGAATTTATGGTCTGCTTCCTACTGCACCCCCAAGAGTACCCAGTCTGACCTGCCTTTCTTTTGCTTTTCTAGGACCCAGCAAGTGACAGGGGAAGGTGTTCTCACATCATGAGGGGCAGATGAGACTACCTTGTTTGATGCATGGTTTGGTTTGGCAGTGACAACTGGTCGCTGATGTGGGGTGTGTGTGAAAACTGCTGTTTCTTACTTCTGACCTCTGCACTCACATTGATTGAAAACCCCTTTCATGGGATTTTAAAGGCAACCATAAAACAAACGATATACTGCATTTTTTATAAAAACATTATTTTTATTAATTATATCCTTGTGATAACAAAAAATCCGTAAACTTTAAAAATAATTTTTGGATACAATGCTTCACATATCAGTAGTTTCCACAGGAATATAATTTTTTTTGTGCCTCCTTGTTACAAGGTTGATATTCAGAACCATACAAATATTGACAATCTCTATACAGTGGTATCCCCAACTATTACATGTACAAAACATGTCCACGCTATCACAATCCATTGGTTCTTGGTAGGTTAGTTTGGGGTAACCAATGCGTTTCATTAGCTTCTTCCTCAGGGAAATCATACCACTCTGTAATATAAGGTTCATATCATAATCAACTATATCCACATTACAGCGAATTTCAAGGAAAAAACAAATTGTTTTCAAATATATTGTAATAAAAAAAAAGGATTTGTCTTGCGTATATCATAATCTGTTAGATATGGAAGCCATCTCCTATAACCAAGGTGTGGCAAGTGATTACCACCTCTGATGGATTCACACAAGGACCTCTTAAACCTCGCCTCCCACTGTTATAAAAGGAAGGGGATGATACTAATACATCTGATTTTAAGTAAAATTATTCTATATCTCTCAGGTATTGGATGGGTAGGATAGTTTAAGGCAAAATAGCTAAATTCTCCTAGTTTATATTAGTGCTCTGAAAAATAGGGAATAGAAACATCTCCTATATCCTGCCAAAAATTCACTGGTAAACAACCAATCCAAAATTACATTGTCCTCCACCAGAGAGGCTATATAGTCAAGTATCAATTAATATCACAAAATAATCTCCCTCCATTTAATCAGACTTGACAAAAATTCAAAAAAATAATTAAACTTACAAATTAGCCATCCATGGTTCTGATTTAAGAATCTCCAAGCCACTTGCATGAGCTGTCTCCACCTTGGATATGTGTCCAACAAGTGAGTACTAAAGAACATTTATTATATAGGACAAGCTCAGTGGGGGGAGCCAAATATCCTCTTATAAAGATCAGCTGCAAGTTTTCCATATGGGTCTCTCATAAGGGAGGAAAATGGCACCCAGTCAGGTCCTCTGGCATTAATCTCACACTGCGCATGTGTGGTCAGTGACGCGACGCGCAATGATGTCACATCCGGCTTTATGACGTGATATCAACTCGTGTCATGTCCGGTTTCACCACAAGGATTTCCAGATAGCCAGGACCTCTGCACTCTGCATTACATAATACTGATCCCCCGCACTCAGCATTACATACTACTGACCCTGACACTCTGCTATACTTGCTACTTACCTCTGCACTCTGCCTTACTTAGTACTGACCCATGTATTCTGCATTACTTACTACTGGCCCCTGCAGTCTGCCTTACTGTTGGCCTCTGCACTCTTCCTTATTTACTACTGATCCTGGTACACTGGACTACATATTACTGACCTCAGCACCCTGTGTTACATACTACTGACCCTGCCAAATGTCTTACTACTAATCTCTGCGCTTTGCATTTCACACTACTAACCCCTGCACTCTGTATTTTCTACTACAGCCCATGCACTTTCCATTACAAACTATTGACTCTTGCACTCTGCCTTACTTACTAGTGACCCCTGCACTCAATGTTACATAATACTGAACCCTGCACTCTGCAATACAGACTACTTGCCCCCTGCACTCTGCATAATATATTACTAACCCCTGCATTCTGCATTACATACTATTCCCTCCTGTACTCCGCATTACATAATAAAGACTCCTGCATTGTTGTCATTTACCTTGGTTGGAGGCTGAGTTAACGAGAGGGCTTCCCTTGCAGCTCTGGCCCGAGCACTCCCAAATGTGGTGACAGAAATACAAGGCTCAAAGAAGCATGGGTTCTGGTAGCTTGATAGCAGGTGACTGCCACGGTCAGAGACGTAGTCAAGGTAAGCCAGGAACATACACTGTGAGACAGCAGCATGGTCAGGAAGCAGGCTGAGGCCAGTACCATGGAAGCAGACACAGCAAGGTCCAGAAGCAGGCCAAGGTCAGCACCAGGGGAGCAGGCAGAGACAGGTCCAATAGCAGGCCTGCACCAGGGAAGCAGGCAGAGAATAGTCAGAGGGAAATCGAGGTCAGAATAAGAATCCACAGAGTGAGGTCAGGAAAAAGCCGGGTCAGCAACAGACGATTAGTGAGTAAAAGCAGGAACACGGATCACGGGGAGCTGAAGAACATCCAGCAATTAGCACACAGCAGGATATCTTCTAAATAGGCAGCTTGGAGCAAATGCATGAGGACATGCACACCAATGTGTGCTGGTGCACAGAAATCCGCCAACATGTCAGTGCAGCTGGATATTAGCTCAGTCTTGCCTGTGTGCTGGTACATGTGCATGAGCATTAGCTGCACAAGAATGAGCGTTAGCTGTATTAGTTTCCTGACAACTGTTCTTTACATACTACTGACCTCTGCACTCTGCCTTATATACCACTGACCCCTGCACTCTGTGTTACATATTAATGAACCCTGAATTCTGCATTACATACTATTGAACCCTGCATTCTGTGTTACATACTACTGACCCCTGCACTATGCATAATATATTACTAACCTATGTACTCTGCAGTACATACTATTGACTCCTGTACTCTACAGTACATAATAATGACCCCTGCACTCTTCTTTACATACTACTGACCTCTGCACACTGCCTTGTATACCACTGACCCCTGTGCTCTGTGTTACATACTACTGAACCCTGAATTCTGCATTACATACTATTGAACCCTGCACTCTACATTAAATACTACTGACCCCTGCACTATGCGTAATATATTACTAACCCCTGCACTCTGCAGTACATACTATTGACTCCTGTACTCTACATTACATAATAATGACCCCTGCATTCTTTCTATATACTACTGACCTCTGCACACTGCCTTATTTACCACTGACCTTGTGTTACATACTACTGAACCCTGAATTCTGCGTTACATACTATTGAACCCTGCACTCAACATTACATACTACTAACTCCTGCACTCTGCATAATATATTATTACTAACCCCTGCACTCTGCATTACATACTTTTGACTCCTGTACTCTGCATCAAATAATAATTGTTCCTGCGCTCTTTTTTACATACTACTGACCTCTGCACACTGCCTTGTATACCACTGACCCCTGTGCTCTGTGTTACAAACCACTGACCCCTGCATTCTGTGTTACATACTACTGACCCCTGAAATCTGCCTCACTTAATACTAACCCTTGCACTCTGCATTAGTTATTTTTTAACCCTGCACTCTGCATTACATACTACTGGCCTCTGAATTCTGCATTACTTACTCCTGATCTATGTATTCTGTCTGTTACTTACTCCTGAACCCTGAACTATGTGCCTTACATACTACTGACCTCTGCACCACTTACTTCTGATCCCTGCACTCTGTGGAGGAAGGAGAGATGACAAAAACTGCTGTGTCGAAAACAGAAGGCATCATACATGTAATGTTTTATTTTACCCATTGTTCTCCTTTAAATTACATTTAGAGACCCAGAATATATTCAGCTTTATACATTAAGCTTGCCCTGCAAATGTTTGCATGCATCACGCCATCTCTTTAATATCACAATACATTTGATTATTATGTCATCTGTTTAAATCTTAGACGAACATCTCTATATTGGGACAAGGCGAGCTGTACCAGTCCGCTGGTATGTGCTCCATTAGGAGGTTACGCAAGCACAGGTAAAGGTATGGCCACATTCCATTTGGTGACAGTGCATTCATAACAAAATCAGAATAAATATCAATGCACACAAAGGGGAAGAAATGGAAGTCAGCGACCTTTCCCTTATGAAATATGTTATCTGTCAGTCAGTTTGCTGCAAGCTATAGTGTGCTTTCAGCAGGTATACATTCTAAGTGGTATTTTTAACATTGACCTGAAAGTAATGTTCTGTATGACTTTGACATACTTGCTGT